CTTGTTATTAGATTGCTTTTTAGGTATGTTGGTAGGCTGGTAGGTCTTTTGGTAGCTTCCTTGCTGGTGGCTGATTGGCGTTTGGTCGGTTGGTTGGTTTGCTCAGGTGATAGATCGGTCTTTTTACAGATTTTTGAGTAGCTCAATCACAACTCTTTGCTCCAATAATGAAAGTCACGTTTTTAAAGAAATCGGATTATTTAATATTGAATGTTAAGTTTATTTATCTCTTTTTTTTTTCCTTTTGTTTTTAGTTTGTCCTTCTGACTGCACATGTGGATACAGGGACGGGATACTGAATTATAAGAGCGTAGCATGTCATAACAAGAGATCTGTTCCTGTTGGTATTCCAAAAGACGCAAATATTCTGTAAGTAGTAAATATGAGTGTAGACCAGATGTTTACCAATCTTTTTTTTTTTTTATTTTTTAATTTACTTGTGTGCTAAAATTGTTGTCCATATGCATTCTTTTACAAATTTTTCGGCTTACTTAATTCTTGATTCTTATGCTTGATTTTTGTGTTCATTCTTTCATTCTTTCGTTCGTTCGTTCGTTCGTTCGTCCGTCCGTCTGTCCGTCTGTGCGTTCGTCTATCCGTGCGTCCGTCCGTCCGTCCGTCCGTCCGTCCGTCCGTCCGTCCGTCCGTCCGTCCATTCGTTCGTTCTTTCCTTCGTTCGTTCGTTCGTTCTTTCGTTCGTCCGTCCGTCCGTTCGTTCGTCGAATTTTTATTTGCTCGTTTAAACATTGTTTTTTTTATTGTGGATATCTTTGTTTTCAGAAATCTTTTTGCAAATCAATTAGAATATCTTGGTCCCGGGATGTTGACTGACCTAACCTTGCTTCAGCAACTGTAAGTTGGGTTACCCTTACACGGTGCAGGACGAACATTTAACCGTTCAAAAATTTGACCTGTACATACCATTAACACCAAAACGTCTCTTTAGATATATAAAAAGTACGTTCTGTTTACATGGAACCAGATCAATACGATATTAGGGATTTTCCATCTGAACGTGCTAAAAGCATATGGCTTGCCGCAGGAAATGTTTACGCGGTACCACGCTATTTTTCATTCGGCCTAAACTTACAAATTTTGAGCGGTTAAAAATTCGTTCGCTACAGGTATGAACGCAGCATTAGCTATAAATATYCATAAAATATTTTARWTTTAACGCGCGMGCTGTTTGACTCCTYGAAACTAGRGTATCTRTGAMCACTGATGAAGTRTTCAATGTCTTTCTAGAAACGTCTCACGCAACCTTATYGGAACTATCTACCCAGGAGCATTCTACGGACTCTTCGATCTTTATCTCTTGTAAGTCGTAAGCTAGTTTTATCTGCAAAAAACTTTCAAAATCTCTCAGTTAGCCATGCCCTGACTTAAATCAGTCCAGAGTTTGTTTCAGGGTTTGATCTGTGAGTTAGCCATGCCCTGACTTAAATCAGTCCAGAGGTTGTTTCAGGGTT